CCTCCGGGTATATTCCCAATAGGGGAATTGCTGGGTCATATGGAAGGTCAATTTCTAGTTCTTTCAGGAATCGCCACACTGTCTTCCAAAGAGGTTGTACCAGTTTGCATTCCCTCCAGCAGTGTAAAAGCATTCCTTTTTCTCCACATCCTCGCCAGCGTCTGTTGTTGTTTGTTTTATTAAGGATGGCCATTCTTACAGGGGTTAGGTGGTATCTCAATGCGATTTTGATTTGTGTTTCTCTGATGATGAGTGGGGCTGAGCAGTTTTTCATGTGTCTGTTGGCTGCCCGTATATCTTCTTTTGAGAAGTGTCTATTCATGTCTTTTGCCCTCTTTTTAAAGGGGCTGAGTTTTCCTTTTTTATTTAAAAAGATTTGGTTCAAGTCAATGCCAGAATTGAACTAGTAGGCTAGTAAAAAATGCTATTGGCTGGGCATGGTGGTGACACCTGTAATCCTAGCATTTTGGGAGGCAGAGGCGGGAGGACTGCTTAAACCCAAAAGTTCAAGATCAACCTGGGCAACATAATGAGAACTCATCTCCACAAAAAATTAGCTGGGTGTGGTGGTATGTGCCTGTAGTCCTAGCTACTTGGGAGGCTGAGGAGAAAGATTACCTGAGCCCAAGAGTTGAAGGCTGCAGTGAGCCGTGATTGTACCACTGCACTGTAGCCTGGGCAACACAGTAAGATCTCGAATCAAAAAAAAAAAAAAGAATGCTGTTGATAGCATTCTACCTGTTAAAAAATTACAGTTCTATTGAAGAAGAAATACATTTATTTAAATAAGGATCTTGAGACTATCCATGCTTTTTATATATTTACTTTAAGTTAGCATTTAATTTTTTGAATATAATCCAAATGTCCTATGTTATGAATGACATAAATTTGAAAGGCAAAAGGAAGAGGACTATATTACATTTATCAAAAGCAATTTTCAAGTTTTTGCCATGCAACTCATGGGTGATTTCCTTTATTTTATCTGTCTGGGGACAACAATTATGTTATTTAATTCCATGGCCCCAAATCATGTGCTTAACCACATTTTTAAACCCAAATAATATTAATTGGAAACCAATTGTTTTGTTTATTGTTTTGAGTCGGCATCTCACTCTGCTACCCAGGCTGAAGTATAATGGCACAATCACAGCTCACTGCAGCCTCAAACGCCTAGGCTCAGACAATACTTCCACCTCAGCCTCTCAAGTAGCTGGGCCTACAGGCATGTGCTACCACGCCCAGTTAATTTTTTGATTTATTTTACAGACAAAGTCTCACCAAGTTACCCAGGCTGATCTTGAACTCCAAGGTTCAAGTGCTTCTCCCACCTCAGCCTCCCAAAGTGTTATGATTATAGGCATGAGCCACCACACCTAGCCAATTATAGGTCAATTGGAAAATGATAAGTCAATGTTAACAAAGAATACACAAGCAAAAACTCTCTCAAATCTCATAGGTAACCACTGTCAATTTTTGGTGCGTATTTTTCCAGAGTTTTTAATCTGCATGAAATTAATGTCTCATAAGTAATAGTTGATTTTTTAATGTATTAGATTATTTGCGTGTAAGGTAAAGATTTTTAAAATTAAAATTTCAGATGTTAGTTTGAGTGATAATATATTAGTACATTAGAAGACAGTTGGTGAGAATATTGAGTCATTATAATCAACTATAGTGTTTGTTATGCTTTACTTGTCTTAAAACCATTCAAAACCAATTGCATATGAAGACTAGTTTTACTCCAGTAGAATACTCTGGTAATTACTGTGCGGAGATCTAGAGAAGAAAACACAACAACAGAGAATTCAGATAATGAAAGTCAACTTAATGTCCTATCTACCACCAAATAACTCATAAATCATTTGATTTTTAATATGAACTTTTATTCTTCCTGTTTCATTTCCTTAAGACACTGTTTGTGCTTTGCTAGGTACCTGCTAAAGACGATGATGAATTTTGCAACATTTGGCAATCTTTACAGGGATCTGGAAAGATTCAACACTTTCAGCCAACTGTACAAGAGAAGGTTAGTATTACTTTGATGAACAACTAATTTAAAGCAAATTTATTATTATTTTTTCCTTAAATCTCATGAAATGGAAAATGACGATTTTGATCATGAATTTTTATAATTCTTTTTGCACATATTTAAGAGTTTCTGAACCAATGAGAGAGAATAGAAAATTTTTCTTTTAAATTAGCTTTGGTTTTTTTGTGGTTGTTTAAAAAGTCATAATAACTATATTTTAAATTCCACAAAGGTTTTAATGGCATTTATTAACTTAATTTTTTTCCCACTTGAGTGCATAACTTTATTCTGACAGTTGGGTATCTTAAACATGAATAAGCAAATTCACATTCCTTGATAGAGTTTAAGAAGAGGAAAGAAATGTTGCTAAAATAGTAAGAGATTCAGACAAAGCAAGGAAGAAGAAAAAGAATGAATTCCCACTACATTTTTTGCTACTTTTCTGTCTTTCAAGTTAAGTCAAAAAGGAATATACTGTCAAGTTTATAAACTAGGACCCTGCATCATCAGGCCCTTGTTTATTCTAAGATCCTGCAGTGATGGTGTCATTATCAGAGCTAGAGAGGAAAAAATTGCAAAGGGAGTAATAGTTAAATAAACATAAAAAAAGAGAGTGACAAGATACACAAGTCTCCTCAGCCAATATGTTATTATTGTAGATTGTCCTTAGATCATCCATAAATTCTTTCTTTCTAAATGTGCTACATATCCAGATTTTTCAGGCCCTCATTTTCTAATTTATTTGATGCTGCTAACCACTCATTTTCTGGACTATTTCATGATTGTTCATTCATCATTCAACACATACTTATTGAGTGCCTACCATGTACCAGGCATTGTTCTATGCAGTGAGAATATAGCAGTAAACTAAACAAAAATCCTGGCCCTCATAAAATTGATATTCTAGGGAGGAGAGGTCTCCCTTGATGATTACAGTAGTCAATTTAAGTAAGTAAATGACATGGTATATTAGAATATAACTTATAAGTTTGAGGAAATTTTTAGAAAAAGAGAGTAGGGAATGTTAGGGAAAGGGATAGTGAAGTATTGCAGTTTTTAATGGAATGATCAGGTAACAATTTGTGCAGATTTGAATAAGATCAGGAGTAGGGTTATGTAAATGTCTGAGGGGAGAATATTTCACACAAATTCAAAGGCCCTGTTGTGAGAACCATCCCTGGGATACTCAAGGAAAAGAAGGCCATTATGGCTGACACCATAGGATGAGTTATAGAAAATTTGATTAGAGAAGTGATACATCAGTATCATGTAGGACCTGTAAGACCATTATATAAAGACATTGGCTTTTAGTCTGGGAAATGGGGAATCACTAGAGGGTTCTGAGCAGCAGAGGGACATCATCTCTTACTTATCACTCTTCCTGCTATCTTGAGAATAGACTGTAGAGGAGCCAGGGTGGAAACTGATTAGTTAGGAGACCACTGTAATCATCAAGGCGAGGTTGAGACTTGATATGAATTTGGACAAGGATATTAGGAGCCTGTGAGAAGTGGTTCAGTTCTGTTGACATATTTGGAAGGGAATTACATCTGATAATGAATTAGATATGGGGGTAAAAGAAAAAGGATGGAGTGAAGGGTGTGACTCTTTTTTTTTTTTTTTTTTTTAGTCAGAGTCTCACTCTGTCGTCCAGGGTAGAGTGCAGTGGCATGCTCATAGTCACCACAGCCTCAATCTGCTGGACTGAGGTGATCCTTCTGCCTCAGCTTTCCAGGTAGCTGGAACCACAGGCATGCACTACCACGCCCGTATAATTTTTTGATTTATTGTAGAGAAGAGGTCTTGTCAAGTTGCCCAGGCTGGTCTTGAACCCCTGGACTCAGGCATTCTTCTCACCTCCACCTCCCAAAGTGCTGGGATTACAGGCATAAACCACTGCACTCCGGCTGGATGTGACGCTTAAGGTTTGAATAAAAGGATAGAATGACTGTTAACTGAGATGGAAATGATTTCAGGGACAGTAGGTTTGTAGGGGAAGATCAAGAATTCAATTTTGGGCATGGTAAGTTTGAGATGTATATTAAGGATCCAATTAGAGTTATAGAGCTGGTCATTTGATTGGAGGTACAGATTGGATATTGACTCTAAAAGTCATGGAGGACTTCCAAGCTAGAGAGAGAAATTTGAGAGTCATAATGTATGTATGTATGTTTATGGGTATGTGTGTATATACATATATTTTTATGTGCATGTCTATATATAGTTATATATCATCTATCTATCTAAAGAAGTGAGTGTAGATAGAGAAGAAATCCAATAACATAGCCTTACAGCATTCCGTCTTTAAAGAGTCCGAAAAATTAGATGAGAAATAACAGTCAATGAGACTGGAAGAAAACCAGGGAAGAGTGGTGTTCTGATGCCAAGTGAAGAATAGATGGCAAGGAGACTGAAGTGATCAACTGTGAAATGCTACCGATAAATCAGCTAAGATGAAAACTGAGAATTGATGGTTATTGGGAACCTTGAAAGAGCAGTTTCAGTAATAGGGTGATGGAAATGAAAGACGGATTAAAGTGGGTTTAAGAGAGAAAGGGAAAAAGAGAAATTGGAAGCAACAATATAGGCAGTTTTTTCAAGGAGTTTTGCTCTAAAAGGAAACATAACCCTAAGTTCCTTCTTGCCTTTACCTATTTGTTCTACTTTTTAAAAGTAATCAATTCTTGCTCTTTCAGACTTTTTTTACTGGGACTGTTCCCCTAAACTCAATAGCTTTTTTCTTTTGCCTTTTACCTTATTACTTGACTCATACCTTTGACCTTTACGTCTCAATCAAGATTTAATCTAGTATATTCAACTGAGGACAGGTATAGTTGGATACCCCACCATCATCTCAACCTCAAGATTTCCCAGAATTGATCTCACCTAAATCTTTTTCTCTTATCCTTTCTTCTAACACCATCATTTCTTTAGGTATATGCTCTAAAAAGTTTAGAGTCAAAAATTTTTAGGCCAGGCATGGTGACTCATACCTGTAATCCCAGCACTTTGGGAAGCTGAGATGAGAGGGCTGCTTGAGCGCAGGAGTTCAAGACCAACCTGAGCAGCATAGCATGGCTTCATCTCTACAAAACATTAAAAGCTTGACTGGGTATGGTGGCACATGCCTATGGTTTCAACTACTTGGATGGCTGACGCAGAAGAATTGTGTGAACCCAGGAGATTGAGGCTGCAGTGAGTCATGATCATGCCACTGCACTACAGCCTTGGTGACAGAGTGAGACACTGACTCAAAAAAAAATGTTGCTTTTTCTGTAATATTATTTTTGCAATAAGAGTCTAAATCTTTGTACTCCTACTTAGTTCCCACAACTGGACTTCAGAATGTCACCCCTGGCCTAGATTAGCTTTCTGACTATCATTCTTGTTTCTTATCTCTTTCACTTCTAGGCCTTCTTGCATACTGCTGTCTGCTTACTCTTTCTTAAAGACCTTTTCACCTATGTTGGCCCCAAGGCATAACTGGGCAAAGTGTCTGGTAGGCCTGAACTCACTTTATGTCCTAAAGCAGTGTGATGCAGTAAATATGATATCATTGTCAGAATCAGGAAGTCAGGTTTTGTGACTCAAGTTGAGCAAAGCTATTTCCCTAGACCTCTGTGACTTCATGTATAAAATAAAAGCACTGGACTTTCGATGACCTCTGAGGTCTTTTCCAGCTCTAAAATAGTATTGCTCTAATACTGTAGAATGTATAGGGCTTCTTGTTTAGTCCTACTGAAATCCATCCCAACTCTAGTCTGTTCCTTTACTTCTCCTTTTCCACAGACAGATTCCCATTTCAAGTTATGTCTTCTTTTTGTTCCTTCCACTTAGAATGCCCTTTCTTCTCTTATTACCAAAATCCACATAGGTTTTCAGTCAAGGTTTGCTTTTTTTTTTTGAGAACCACTTGATATTATATTCTCTCATAATCTGCATGTAACCCTGTTTTGGGATGCTATTTTATTATTTATTTTAGCTGAATACTCCCATGTTTTATCTCTTCTTTGTTCTAAGAATTATGAGCTGCCAAATATAACACCCATATCTGTGATGCATTTATAAGTAGCCTATCCTGGTGACCCAAACTAATCTGATGAGTAAATTTGAGCAAACTCACCCTAATAAAAAATATTCAAGCTTTGATTGACAGAACATGGCAATGTGACCATTGACAGAACATGGCAATGTAGATATCAAATGGAACAACCCCAAAGGCCAGGTACAGTGACTCATGCCCATAATCCCAGCACTTTGGAAAGCGGAGATAGAAAGATTACCTGAGATGAAGTGTTTGAGACCAACCTGGGCAACATGGCTCGTCTCTATGGCAAATCAAAAAATTAGTTAGGTATGGTGGTGTATGCCTGTAGTTCCAGCTTGTGGTTCCAAAAATTAGAATATCTGCTTTCTGATTAAATTTGTGACACACCTTTTCTCTGAAGTAGTACTGTGAACATAGGTTTTAGAGTCAGAGTTCAAATGTCTGCTCTCTAATTACTTTGTTCTGTGACCAAATTGCTTTATCACTTTAAGCCTCATCTTTATTCACCTATAAAATGGAATCAAGATATACCACATACCATAGCATTGCTATAATAATATTGTGATAATGGTTGCAAAGTCCTTTTTACCATGCCTGGCACATAATAGGCATTCACACAATATTTCTTTATATCCACCTATTGATCCTAAAGTTCTAATTTCTTTCCTCAGAATCAGAACCCCCCCATAAAGTACTGCTGTAGTCCAAAACCCCGCCAGCCATTGTTCCATGATGGTAGACATCTCGTGCCGTTTTAACTCCTAAACACTGAAGAGGCTGGGCACTATGGCTCATCTCTGTAATCCCAGCACTTTGGGAGGCCGAAGAAGGAGTATCATTTGAGACCAGGAGTTCAAAACCAACCTAGGCAACATAGCAAGACCCCCATCTCTACAAAATATGTAAAAATTAGCTGAAACAAGTTGCTCGTGCCTATGGTCCTAGCTACTCAGGAGACTGAGGCTGGAGAATTGCTAGAGCCCGGGAGTTTGAGGTTACAGTGAGCTATGTTCACACCACTGCACTTTAGCCTGGGTAACAGAGTGAAACCCTATCTCTTAAAAGAAAAAAAAAAGAGCCAGGCTCGGTGCCTCAACCTGTAATCCTGCACTTTGGGAGGCTGAGGTGAGTGCATTGCCTGAGCCCGCGGGATCGAGACCCGCCTGGGCAACTTGGCGAGACCTCATCTCTACAATAAATAAATTAAAAAATTAGCTGGGTGTGGTAGTGCACACCTGTAGTTCCAGCTACTTGGAAGGCAGAGGCAGAAGGATCACCGGAGCCCTGCAGGTCGAGGCTGAGCCCTGGGGTGTTCCTATACAAGCGAGCTCATTGGACCTTCCCTCACACTCCCATGCATATCACACCTATTTTGGAGCATGATGTGTCTTTTTTACCCAGTGTTCATTTGTCTGTACTGAGAAGAAAATAAATAGAACCTGCCAAAAGCAAAATTGTGAAATAACTGATTTATATTGAACTTTTCTAGTCTCCCGTTTTTCTTCCTTTGCTACTTCAACTGTGGAAAATTAACTTTTTGTTTTCAGGCTTTCTCTCCCTATCATAAAACAAGGTATCTAATAGAATATTTATATGAAACTTACTCATGCTTTTTGCTAATTTTACCCATTTATGAACTGTCTCAATTACTGTGACTTTATAATCAGTTTGGATGTCTAGTAGTGAAGTCTTTGTTTGTTTGTTTGGGTTGGAGTCTCAGTCTTTGGCCCAGACTGGAGTGCAGTGACAAAGTCACGGCTTACTACATCCTCAACTTCCTGAGTTCAGGTGATCCTTCCACTTCAGCCTCCCAGGTAGCTGGAACTACAGGTTTGCGCCGTTATGCCCAACTAATTTTTTGTAAAGATGAGGCCTTGCTATTTTGCTTAGGCTGGTTCCAAGCTCCTGGACTCAAGTAATCCTACAGCCTCAGCCTCCCAAACTGCTGGGATTACAGGCGTGAGCCACCATGTCCAGTCTAGTAGTGAAGTCTTTCATCCTTTTAAAAATCTTAATAATATAAATATTAATTAATAAAAACCAGTAATTGGAGGGAGCAATATGGAAGGGAATATAAATGAGCTAATATAATATCTTCAACTTTCATAACAGAGTCAAAAATGATTTTAAAAACTTTCAAAACTTTTAAAAATTGTTTTAAATGGAAAATTTTAAACATAAGGAAATAAAAAAATAGTATAACAACCAACAGGTACTCATTCCTACCTTGCTCATGTCCAGTCCTGTTTCTTCTATAACCTCTACTCACTTTCCACTCTCATCTGCCCAAGAGGTAAGATTATTTTGTAGTTAATCTAGAAGGATTTTTAGAGACTGGTATTTCTGTTGTGAAGAAACACTTGTGTAAAGTTTAGCACTTTCTGCATGCATTGACTTCAAGTAAAATTAGATCTAATTGTTTCTATTGAAAATAGCATTTTTGTAAGATAATTGTTTTCTACGAACCTTGCTATCTAATGCATAAAGAAATGTATGAAGTTATTATGGTCATTGTGTTAATGATTCTGGCAGTGAAATTTGGGTAGCTTTTAAAATTCTCTATACTTTTCTATATTAAATTTTTTTCTAATGAGCTATATTATCTTTATAAAAATAACGTGATTATTTTAAGAGTTGAAGAAAATAAGTAGTTATAATACTAAGATTTTGTTTAACTAATTTATAAGAATTTTAACTTACAGGGTGCAGTTCTACCTCAAGAAATAAGTCAAGTAAATCAGCATCATAAATCTGGCTTTAATGACAACAGTGTTAAATATCAGCAAAGAAAACATGACCCTCACAGAAAATGTAAGTTTTAATTTAGAAAGATATACTTGTATGCTATCTGCTTCTTTTAATTAATAAATAAATAGCTTTATTATAATATAATTCACATACCATAAAATAAATTCATTCTTTTAAAGTATACAGTCCATGGTTTTTGGTATTTTTACAAACTTGCATAACCAATACCACCATCTAAATTTAGAATGTTTTCATCACCACAAAAAGAAACACATACCTTTTAGAAGTCACTCTTCCAGGCCCTGGCAACCAGTAATTTACTTTCTTTCTCTATGAAGTTGCCAATTCTGGACATTTGATATACATGGAATTAAAAAACATGTGACCTTTTATGACTAGCGTCTTTCACTTGGAATAATGTTTTCAAGGTTTATCTGTGTCGTATGGGTTCCACATCCGTGGATTCAATCAGCCGAGGATCAAAAATATTCGGAATAAGAATGAATCATTGTGTCTATTCTGAACATGTAGATTTTTTTCCTTGTCACTGTTCCCTAAACAATGCAGTGTAACAGCTATTTACACAGCATTTACATTTTATCAAGCATAAATAATCTAGAGATTATTTAAAGTATATGAAGGGTGTGCATAATTTGTGTGCAAATACTGCACCATTTTATATAATTTGTTTGAGCATCTGCGGAGTTTGATATTCATAAAGGGTCCTGGAATCAACTTCCTACAGATACTGAGGGGAACTCTGTCAGTACTTCATTACTTTTTATGGCTGAATAATACTCCATTGCATAAATACTGCATTTAGTTTATCCTTTCTCCCTTTGATAGAGATTGGGGTTGTTTCCAGTTTGGGACTATATTAAATAATACGGATATGACTATCTGGCTAGAAATTTTTGTGTGAATATATGTGTTCAGTTTTCTTAGGTATATACATGTAAGTAAAATTACTGTGTCATATGGTAACTGTATTTTTTTGTGTGTTTTGTTTTTGTTTGTTTGTTTGAGTCAGAGTATCACTCTGTTGCCCAGGCTGAGAAGTGAAGTGGCACACTCACGGCCACTGCAGCCTCGGCCTCAGGGCTCAGGTGATCCTTCCACCTCAGCCTTCCAAGTAGCTGGAACCACAGGTGTGCACCACCACACTCAGCTAATTTTTTGATTTGTTGTAGAGACGAGATCTCACCATGTTGCTCAGGTTGATCTTGAACTCCTGAGCTCAGGTAATCCTCTTGCCTCTGCCTTCCAAAGTCCTGGGATTACAGGTGTGAGCTACCGTGCCCAGCTTGTATGTTTTAACTTTTTGTGGAACCACCAAACTGTGTGTACCATTTTATATCTGTGCCAGCTATATGTGAGGGTCCAGTTTTTTCACATCCTCCACAGCACTTGCTATTGTCCATCTCTTTGATGATAGCCATTCTAGCAGGTGGGAAGTAGAATCTTCTTATGATTTTCATTTGCAATTTAGTGACTAGTAATGCTAAGCATCTTTTTATGTGTTTATTGGCTGTCTTTATATCTTCTTTGGAGAAATATCTATTTAAACCCTTTGCTCATTTTTTAATTGAGTTGTCTTTTTATTCTTGATGTGTAAGAGTTCTTTGTATATTCTAGATACTACAAGCTTATCGTATATAGGATTTACAAACATTTTCTCACATTGTTGATTGTCTTTTAGCTTTATAATGTACTTGAAGCACAAAAGTTTTAAAGTTTGAAGAAGTTCAGTGTATGTATTTTTTCTACTTTGTCTTTGGTTGCTTATGCTTTAGGTATCATATCTAAGAAACCATTGCCTGGCCAGGTGCGGTAGCTCACACCTGTAATTCCAGCACTTTGGGAGGCAGAGGCAAGAGAATTGCCTGAATCCAGGGGTTCGAGATAAGCCTGGGCAACTTGGCAAGACCTCATCTCTACAATAAATCTAAAAATTGGCCAGGCGTGATGGCACATGCTTGTAGTTCCAGCTATTTGGAAGGCTGAGGCAGAAAGATCACCTGAGCCCAACAAGTTGAGGCTGCAGTGGCCATGAGTGTGCCATTGCACTCCAGCCTAGGCGACAGAGTGACACTCCGACTGAAAAAAAAACAAAAAAGCAAAAAGAAAAAGAAACTATTACCTAATCTGAGGTCACAAAGAGTTATACCTGTGCTTTCTTCTAAGAGTTTATAGTTTTAACTCTTACATCTGTGTCTCTTTTTATATGAGTTAGGAGTTCATATTCCTTCTTTTGCATGTGGATATCCACCTGTCCCAGCACCATTTGTTAAAAACACTATTCTTTCCTCACATTAAATTCTCTTGGCACCATTGTCAAAAGTTACTTGACTGTAGAGCCAAGCACAGTGGTGTGTACCTGTAGTCCCAGCTACTCAGGAGGAAGAGGTGAGAGGATTACTTGAGTCCACAAGTTTGAATCCAGCAAGACCACCTCTCATTTTAAAGAAGTTGACTATAGATTTGTAGGTTTATTTCTGGTCTCACAATCCCATTCCACTGATTTATGTGCCTGTTCTTAATGTGAACAACACACTGTTTGGATTACCGTAGCTTTGTTGTAAGTTTTGAAGTCAGGAAGTCTTTCTTTCTTTTTTTTTTTTTTTCTTTTTAAGATTGTTCTGTCTATTCTGGGTCCCTTGCATTTCCATATGAATTTTATGATTGTTTTGTCTATTTCTGCAAAAAAAAAAAGAGCAGCTGGAATTTTGTAGGGATTGCATTGAATCTTTAGATCACTTTGGGTAGTATACTCATCTTAATATTAAATCTTCCTGGTCATAACATAAGATGTCTTTTCATATATTTAGGTCTTATTTGATTTCTTTTTATGGTGTCTTATAGTTTTCATTGTACAAATCTTATACTTTTTTTGTTAAATGTATTTCTAAGTATTTTATTCTTCTTAAATTATCGTCAGTAGAGCTGTTTTCTTAATTTTATTTTTAGATTGTTCACTGCTGTTTATAGAAATAAAGCTGACTTAGGTGTATTAATCTTGCTGAACTTGCTTGTTAACTCTAATTTTTTGAGGTTTCTGCAAATGAGGATAGTTTTACTTATTTTCTTGCCTAATTGCTGTGGCTAGAACCACTGATACTGTGTTGAATAGAGCATACATCTTTGTCTTAACTTGATCTTAGAGATAAGCTTTCAGTTTTTCACCATTAAGTGTAATGTTTGTAATGTCAGCTGTGGGTTTTTTATAGATGCCTTTATTAGGTGAAGAAGTTCCCTTCTATTCCTGGGTGGTTGTTTTGGGAGCGTTTTTAGATTTTTGTCAAATGTTTTTTTTGTCTATTGAGATAATCTGGATTTTGTTCTTTGTTCAATTTATATAGTATATTCCATTGATTGTTTTTCATATTGTTGAACCAACTTTGCATTCCTGGGATAAGTTCCACTAGTTCATAGTGTCTAATCTTGTTTTTAATATGGCAGGGTTTGACTTGCTAGTATTTTGTTGAGGATTTTTACATCTCTATTCTTAAGGTATGTTTGTCTGTAATTTTATGTTCTTGGATGAGATTGATTTTTGTATCATGGTAATACTAACCTCATAGAATAGATTGGGGGATGTTCTCACCTCTTCTATTTATTGAATGAGTTTGAGATGAATTGGTGTTACTTTCCCTGAAATCTATTAAATGTTTAAAGCATTTGATAGAATTCATCAATGAAGCCAGCTGGACCTGAGCTTCTCTTTATGGAAAGATTTTATATTTACTGATTTAATCCCTGGTTGTAATTCTGCTCAGATTGTTTCCACATGAGTCAGTTTAAATAGCTTGTGATTTTGTAGGAATTTGTTTATTTCGTCTAGGTTATTTAAATTGTTGGCATACGATGTCCGTAATATTTCCTTGTGATCCTTCTTACTTCTGTAAGATGGATAGTAATATATCCCGACTTTCATTTCTGATTTTAGCTATTTGCATCTTCTCTCTTTTTTATATTAATTAGTATAACTGAAAGCTTGTAAATTTTGTTGATCTTTTCGAAATTAACTTCCAGATTTGTTTTTTCGCAATTGTTTTTCTATTTTTTGTTTTATTTTTTCCCCCCTAATATTAATTTACTATTTCCTTTCTTCTTACTTTAGATTTAGTGTTCACATTTTTTGTTGTTGTTTGTTTGCTTGTTTCTTAAGTGAAAGATTAGGTTATTGATTTTCTTCTTTTTTGTCAGTCTTACTCTGTCACCTGAACTGGAGTGCAGTGACACGGCACAGTCATACTACCGCAGCCTCGATCTACTATAGGATTCAGGCAATCCTTCCACTTCAGCCGTCCAAGTAGCTAGTACTACATGTGCTCACACCTGGCTAGTTTTTTTATTTATTGTAGAGACAAGATCTCGCCAAGTTGCCCAGGCTGGTTTCAAACCTCTGGGCTCAGGCAATCCTCTCGTCACCTCCTCCCAAAATGCCGGAATTACAGGCATGAGCCACTACTTCTGCCCTTTCTTCTTTTTAAATATAGGCATTTGCAGCTATCAATTTCCTTTAAAGCACAGCTTTCGCTGCAGCTTATACCTTTTTTTCATTTACTTCAAAGTGTTTTCTAATTTTCTGGTGACTTCTGTTTTGATCCATGGGTTGTGTGTGTTTTTAAATTTCCATATATTTGTGAATTTTCTAAATTTCCTTTTGTTAGCCGGGCTCGGTGGCTCAGCCTGTAATCCCACACCTTTGGGAGGTGAGGTGAGTGGATTGCCTGAGCCCGTGGGTTCGAGACCCACCTGGGCAGCGAGACCTCATCTCTACAATAAATTAAAAAATCAGCCGGGTGTGGTAGTACATACCTGTAATTCCAGCTACTCGGAAGGCTGAGGCGGAAGGATCGCCGGAGCTCAGTAGGTCGAGGCTGCAGTGGCCGGGAGCAACCACTGCACTCCAGTCTGGGCGACAGAGTGAGACTCCAAGCTCAAAAAAAAAAAAAAAAAAAATTTCCTTTTGTTGTGTATTCTCATTTGTTCCTTTGTAATCAGAGAACATATCTTGTATGATTTTAATCCTTTTAAATTTATCAAGGTTTGCTTTATGGCCTAGTGTATAGTCAGTAGAAGAGATCGTTCCATGTGCTTGAAAAGAATGTGTTTTCTACTATTGTTGGATGGAATGTTCTATAGATATCTGTTAGATCTAGGCAATTTATGTATGGTATTGTTCAAGTATTTTATGTCAAATTTGATTTTTTGTATAGTTGTTTTATCCTTGTTTCCGTCAGTTTTCACTTCATGTATTTTAGGTACATATATGATTTTAATTGTCATATCTTCTTGATAGATTGAGTCTTTTATCATTGTAAAAAGTCATTTTTTGTCTCTAGTAACAATTTTTATCTTAAGTCTACTTTGTCAGATATTAGCATAAGCTGCTTACATACTCCTTTGAATACTGTCTACATGGTACATCTTTTCCAGCTTTTTACTTTCAACCCTATTTGTACTTTTGAATCTAAAGTATGTCTCTTTTAGAAGTACTTTATTATTTATTTGCATCTCTTATAATTTTTTAAAATTAATTTTTAAAATAACATAATACGGTTACTCTGGAAATAAGATTCTTCCCCAACCCTCACCCCCACCTCAGGACTTGTTGTTTATTGTAGTTGTTGTTGCTCATTTGTTTAATGTCCTCTATACTAATTCTCTGAAGTCTGTATTCTTTGTCATATGTAACCACCAAAGTCTCAGCTTTGTTACCCTGGTGGTCAGTTAGTGATTGGACAGATACTTCCTTAAATACCTGGAAACAATAATCTCTGTCTTTGCTCAGGGAATCTATGTATTTGGTAGATCTTACCTTCAGTATTCAGTTAGGCAGTCAACAACTCTGGTTTAATCTTCGCTTCCTGCTTGAACAGAGCCTCAAGGTCAGCCAGAGGTGAGAGCTTAGGGCCTTCTCAAGTCTTTTCTGAACATTAACACAGCCCTGAGTATACATACGGCTTCTAGATTCCCAATAATATATCAGAGCTTTTCCAAGCTCCTATAGACATCTCATTCTCCAGCTTTTCCTTTTAAGCTTTTTGAGTAGTTTATTTTTTAGCCAACTGTACCCTACCACCTCAGGTACCTGCAAAGTAAATCAGTTGCCTATAATTTTTTTCAAATATAGCCTATGGGGAAAAGGCTTTTTCCACACTGGTTGAGCTCAGCCTTACAAGTGAGTATAGGAACTTCCAGAAAGGTCAAATAACAATTGAGAATAATGCTTTAAAAGTGTTCCAGCCTTATTTTGATTCCTCTGGTAGATGCCAGGATATTGGTTTTCACCACAAATAGTGGCTATTATTTTCCAAGTCTGTATGGAGCTGAAGAGTGGGAAATGGACCTAGGGCAAGTTAAAACACCAAAAACCTCACTACTCTTACTGAGATTGTCTTTTTTTTCTTGAATAGACACTCCCCAGATTGCTATAAGCCTTTTGTTAACTGCTATAGTTCTGAATATTTAAATTCTGGTTATTTATGCCCATTCTCTCAATGTTTTTATGGAAGAGAAAATTTAAGGAGGTCCTTACTCTGACATTTTGCTGATGTCTCTGTTACTTGAGATAAATCTTATTTAGGGTGATCCAGTTACTTTTTTGTTTATAAACACTAGACTATTAAATTACTCCTAACTATATTATAGGTTTTGGTTAAAATATATACAAATATTTTGCTGCTTATCTCTCCTATATAGCTCATATATTTTTTACTCTCATCATTTCTTTAGTGGTATCTACTGTGTTCAGGCAAAATGGGGAACGTAGATGCAGAGATGAATAACTTTTTCTCTTCTCTCTATCAAAGTACTTCCAAATTGCAGCAATTTTTGTATGTTCAAAATATGACCCATTTGTTATTCATTCACTCATTTGTTATTCACTCATTTGTTACTCATTAACTGCTGTTTATTGGACTATTATATAAGTGCAAGGTGATGTTCTAGGTGCTAGGAATATATGAGTGAACAAGACAAGTTTCTGACCTAATCATGTTTACATTCTAAGAAGGTAATTGATAATAAGCAAAGAATAAATTCCATAATCTGAAGTAATGACAAGTACTATGATGAAAAATAAAACAGATTAAGAGGATAGGGTGATGGAGGATTCCTGGGGAACTCTTTTTTTTTTTTTCTCCTCACCCCCACCCGGGAACTGTTAAATATAGTTTTCAGTGAAGACCTTTCTGAGGAGATGACATTCCATAGGAGACCCTAATAAAAGCTTGAAGTAGCATGAACTATGCAAAGCTGGCTGAAGAACTTTCCAACAGAGGAAATAGCAAGTGCAGAGCCCTGAGTCTAATTTATTATATAATATATATGCGTAGAATTTTATATATTTATATTTAATAGGTAGTATACTCTTTTAAAATATTCTTCTAAAAAGTGATTTTCAAAAAATTATTTGTATTTTTTAACTTTGGTTCAGTTTGATAACTGCTGCACCATTTTTTGTACCAGTGTCTGTATGGTTTTTATTTTGTTTATTTGTTTTTTCTTGAGTTGGGTTCTCACTGTCACCAAGGCGGGAGTGCAGTGGCATGATTTTTTTTGAGTTGGAGTCTCACTCTGTCGCCCAGACTAGAGTGCAGTGGCTGCTCCCGGCCACCGCAGCCTCGACCTGCTGGGCTCCAGCGATCCTTCCGCCTCAGCCTTCCGAGTAGCCGGAACTACAGGCGCGCGCTACCATGCCCGGCTAATTTTTTGATTTTATTGTAGAGATGAGGTCTTGCCTGCCCAGGTGGGTCCCGAACCCGCGGACTTGGGCAGTCCACTCACCTCAACCTCCCAAAGGCGCGGGATTACAGGCTGAGCCACTGAGCCTGGCTGGTGGCATGATTAAAGTTCACTGCAACCTCTCTAACTCCTGGGCTCAAGCAATCCTTCTGCCTCAGCATAGCTGGAACTACAGGCACGCACCACCATGCCCGGCTAATTTTTCGATTTTTTGTAGAACTGAGGTCTCGTTATGTTGCCTAGGCTGGTCTTGAACTCCTGGGCTTACACATTCCTCCCATCTCAGCCTCCCAAAGTGCTGGGATCACAGACGTGAGCCACTGCACCCAGCAATAGATGTTATTGTTGTTTCTTTTGCTTTTTAAATTAAATACAAATCAATGTCTCTATAAATCTAATAATGATAAATATAGCTTGAAGATTTTATGTTTAACTCAAATACATTATGATTTTTCTTTAAATTATTGTTTTCACAAGTGTATGTAAACTATCTGAGTTGTGATGTGGAGTTCTAGTTAGTTTTCCTTGTGTGTGTTTGTCTCTACAAATGTAGTGTCAATACATGTCAATACGTGTCAGCTCACTTTTTCTTTTACTTTGTTTTATAAGATTGCTCCCTTCCCTTTTTCTCTTCCTTACCTCTGTTACCATCCTTTCCTCCATTACCCTCCGCCTCTTTTCCCCTCTTACCCTTCCTTCCTCATGTCTTTCCTTCTAGTCTTTCGTCATATTCCCTCTCTCTCACGCCCCTCTCCCTTTTCCCCTTACCTTGTTTTCTTCTTCACCCTCCCTTTCCTCTGAACCCTCCCTCCTTCTTATCTTCCTTCCTTCCTTTCTTTATTCCTCGTCTCTCATCTCTCCCTGTCTACTCTTTTTTTTTCCAGTCTGGCTTAATAAGCAGTCTAGTGGCAGAAAGTGGCAAAGTTAGGGTATGCACAATTAACCCAGTATATTAAATGTAATAGAATATTATGAGGAATGACGAGCCATACTTTTCATGTTTCTTGTCTCCTTCATGCCCCTCATCTCCTTCATCTTCACATCCTGTCATTTACTAAATCCTTTACTGTCTCAGTTTCTTCCTATTCGTTTATCCTATCAGCCCCCCAATTTCCACCTAATAGTACTGTTAGAGTAGCTGCCTGATTGTTCTCTTACTCTTCTTCAATTTAGCCAGTCATATTTTAATCTTACTAAGCACAATTCTGATCAGATGACTGCCTTCTCAAAATCTTTCTGTGATTGATTGCCCATTGCCTACCCACTTGGTGCCATAGTCATCGATACCTTGTAGATTATGGCACTAGCCTGCTTCCTTAGTTCCATGAAGCTCCATAGTACTCCTTAACCTCCGGGGGAACTTGTCTGTTTAGAGTTCTGTAAATACATTTCTTGCTTTCTGCTTCCATGTCTTTTCTCCCATTTTTCCTTTGCCTGTACTTAGCCTTCTGTTCTGCCCTTTAGAAATCTATCCTTTAAGGCCTAATTCAGATTTGTCTGTGAGTGTATCTTCTCCGCCTCATCTATATTATAAATTCCTTAAGATCAGAAACTGTATCTTCTTGGATATCTCTGAATTTTTAACATAGTGCCTTGCGATGGTAAATATTTGGTAATTATAATGGTGCAGTAAATTTTCTCATTTACTAAAATTTCTGTTTTCTTGTCTACAGTTAAAGAAGAGTGTAAGAGCCCTAAAGCTGAGTGTCAGTCACAAAAAATGTCCAATAAACAGGTAAGCTTCCTTAAAATCAAAATTCTAGGACCCAACTCTTTTAGGCAATTGATCACTCTGTAGCATCTGACTGAAATTCACAACCTTTTCAACCAAATTATAAGATGTGTATCAAGAAATTCGCTGGCAGTCACTTGGATGGGAGGTTGTACCACTTGAGTCCAGGATTTGGAACTAGAGGTTTCCGAAATCCTGATTTTGGCCGTTTAATAGTTGCGTGCCTTGTGCAGTTCACATCACCTCTCACGGCCTCAATTTGTTAGTCTTTAAATGAAGATAAACATATTAATCACTTGTAGTCTCTCTCAATATATATAGTCTATATATTTTTACATAAATAGACCTTTACATGTATTTATGAAATATTTTGAAGTATGTTTTTATATATACATTGAATATATAGAGCAACATAGCAAACTTCACAGGGTAAATTCTATGGAATTAGATTGGTGTGGGAGAAGCTGAGATTATTTATGTTTTACTTTATATAGTCTCTACTGTTTGATAGGGATTATGTATGTATACATTTTATCATCAAAGAATAACATTTTTATCTAAAAAATTTGTCATGTATATATAATGTGTACACTTTCTGTATGCATATCATATTTTAATATACTTTTTAAAATTGTTCTCTTGAAAGGTAGTGATTTATAAATGATGTCTTAGCAGAATATTTGGCATATAATGGGGTTTTAGTAAATTGAATGTATTAATATTTAACTACCAGTAAATTGTTTAATTACCTGACTTCTAAGGCCCTTTCCTTTTGAAACTCTTATGCTATAATTTCCTTTCTTCTAGAAAAGGAACTGATAAACTTTTTGTGCAAAAAAGACCTCTTTGGTGAAACCCATGGACCTCTGGTGAAGCCAGTATTTTTCTCAGAATAATGTTTTTTAAAGCTAAAATAAAATAAATAAGATTTTAAAGAAAACCAGTCATATTGTTATACAATTAGAATTGCCACTGCTGAATCATGGTTTTCTAAGTCAGTTCGGGCTATTATAATAAAAATACCTGAGACTGGATGGCTTGAACCACAGATTTTTATTTCTTTTTTTTTTTTTTTAACTAAAACATTTATTGCATAACTATTTGTTGAAATTCTTAAGTAGAACTGGATGGCAACAGCTGCCCTCTTGGGTTTAGGTGTTGTTCCTTCACGGAATCCATGCCTGAATCTGCGGTATACAATTTTTAGGTGCCTCATCAACCAGTCCCGGTGGTATTTCGTCTTTTAGCTTTGGCACCCCAGTTATACTTTCTCTTGCGCTTGGCAGGGTAGCCACATTTGCCACAGGTCGACTTCTGAAGGTGGTAGGCCTTAGAACCACAGCATGTGCCTCTTACTGTGACACTTTCCAAACGATGACGTTCCCGTCATCATCTCGCTCCAGCAGCCAAGACCAGAGAGGCCGGAAGAGAAGGCACTTCCACTCGATTTTTATTTCGTATGGTTCTGGATTTTTATTTCTTATGGTTCTGGAGTCTGGGAAGTCCAAGATCAAGGCACTGGCAGAAAAATGTTTTTTGAAAAAGTACATAAGATTTTAAAGAAAACCAGTTATATTGAAATGCAGTTAGAAGGTGTCTTGTGGCCGGGCTCAGTGGCTAAGCCTGTAATCCCGTGCTTTGGGAGGCTGAGGTGAGTGGATTGCCTGAGCCCACGGGTTCAAGACCCACCTGGGCAACTTAGCGAGACCTCATCTCTACAATAAATCAAAAAATCAGCCGTGCGTGGTAGCACACACCTGTAGTTCCAGCTACTTGGAAGGCTGAGGTGGAAGAATCGCCAGAGCCCAGCAGGTCGAGGCTGCGGTGGCCAGGAGCAGCTACTGCACTCCAGTCTGGGTGACTGTGAGACTCCAGCTCAAAAAAAAAAAAAAAAAAAGAAGGTGTCTTGTGAGAACACCCTTCTTGGCTTGCAAATGACTTGCCTTCTCATATTCTAACATGGTAGAGTAAAAGAGCTCTATTCTTTTCTTCTTATAAGGACTCTAATGTCATCATGGGAGCTCTACCCTCAAGACCTCGTCTAAATCTAATTACCTTCCAAAGGACTTACCTCCTAATACCATCTCATTAGGGGTTAGAATTTTAACATAGGAGTTTTGGGGGAACACAAACATGTAGTCCATATCAATGGTTTAATACCTACAATCATAATTGAAGAAAATGCTAAATCTCATTTAGAGGTTAATGAAGATAAAGATGTAAGTTTTTCCCCAGCCAAGTTTACAGGCCCCCTTTTTCTTATGACATAAAAGGGAATATAGGCCATTTAAAAATGATTTAGAACACATTAGTAGTAACTATAAATATACTTGCACAAAAAGCTTATTCTTACTTTTTTATAGACTTTTGGAGGGCCTGCCAAATGTAATATTAAGCTATTGAAGAGAAATGAAAGTCCAGAAGTCTCAGAAACCCAAAAGATTATGACTGGTTATCCAAATGCTATTGATAAGGTAAAAGACCACTTATTCAATTTATCTTCTCAAACTTTAACACTTGGGAAGATGATTGCGTGAAAATTGAATGACCATTTTAGTACATAAAACTCTTAGCTTTTTCTCTATCCTTATGCTTGTACCTTCATACCCAAAATATTTCTTCTTTTAGCCTAACTCTGGAATTGAGACCTTTTTAGCATCTTTGAATATCGCCAAAGAAAATGAAATACAGTCAACCCATTACAGAGCGCCTCCAAGTGAAGAGCATTTGTCACCACAGTCATTTGCTATGGTTCGTATTTTGTCGCAGTTTTTTTTCCTATGGTAATTTCTTTACTCTTGACCATGCATACATACCCCACACAAGTGTTCAACCATTTTTCCCTTATGTAGGCTGGTGTGTTACTATTGTCAGGAAAACCAGTCTACCTTAGGCAGTCTTTTTTCTTTTTTCTCTTTGACCCATAACCCGTCTGCTTTAAGTGACTGGGCCAAAAGTTAAGCAAAAGTATTGTTTCTATATCTAGAAATGTGGAGGTTTTTGTTGTTTTGTGGGGGAGGGTTAGCTTTCAACTACTGATTATTCTTATTCTCTGTCTGAATGTAGTTAGTGTCTTAATTTTTAATAATAGAACTTCCAAAGAAAGAGGAATAAAGTTTTATAAACCTAATATTGACTCCTCTCCCACACCAACCATCTTTATATGAATCATTTTCATAAAAGAAGGGAACGCGGATGCTTAAAGAAATTCTAAAAATTGATGGCTCTGACACTGCGGACCATAAGAATGAAATGAAACAGTTTGGTGATGAAGTCACTGTTACCTCTAATAGAAGAGATGAATATGGATCATCCTCACAGCCCAAACAAAATAAGAAATTAGGTATGTAAACTAAATACTATTAATAATAATGAATATCATTTCAAAAATTCAGTTTGATTATTTTTATTGTGTGCTTTTTAAAGATAAAGTTTGTCTTAGTCTTAAAAGTATAATTTTCATATTTGTGTCAGTTGTATGATAATGTAACTATGTAACCGATAGATTATGTCCCTAAATATCTTCTTGTGATTACTTAATTGTACTATTACAGACACTTATTCTGCAGATACCCAAACCTTGGAAAATTTTCACATTCTACCCTTCTTTTCTTAGTAATGTAAAAATAGTATGTAACTTGGCCAGGCATGGTAGCCCATGCCAGTAATCCCAGCACTTTGGGTGGCCTAGGCAGGAGAGTTGCTTGAGCCTAGCAGTATAAGACCAACCAGGACAACATAGTGAGACCTAGTCTTCACAAAAATTAAAAAATTAGCCAAGTGTGGTGGCTTACATCTATAGTCATAGCTACTCAGGAGACTCAGGCAGGAGGATCACTTGAGCCTAGGGGTTTGAGACTACATTGAGCTGTGATCATCTCCAACCTGGATGACAAAGTAAGATCTTATCTCTAAACAACTAATAAATAAATACTATGTATCTTAAATACATTATATAACTTGTTAAAAATTCATTTTTAAGATGGGCGTGGTGGCTTGTGCCTATAATCCCAACACTTTGGGAGTTGGAGGCAAGAGGATTGCCTTAACCCAGGGCTTGAGACCAGCCTAGGCAACTTGGCAAGACCTCATCTCTGCCATAAATCAAAAAATTAGCAGATAATGGTGGTGTGTGCCTGTAGTTCCAGTTACTTGGACATTGAGGCAGAAGGATTGCCTGAGCCCAGCAGGTTGAGGCTGTGGTAGCCAACTGCACTGCAGCCTACAGCCTGGGTGACAGAGTGAGACTCCAACTCATAGATAGATAGATAGATAGATAGATAGATAGATAGATAAACAGATAAACAGATAGATAAATAAATGTTATTTTTTCTTATAAAATGAGAATAATGCATGCAAGTGACTGTTGTGATCATTATATAACATGTATAAAGCAATTAGCACTGTGTCTGACATAGTAGGCACCAATAATTGATATTGGTTTTATGTTGAAATAACTTGACCAATGTAACTATTTTTAAAAACTGTAAAATAATTAAAAATAATTGGAAAGTGAGTCATGAAATCTGTGACACCTGTAACTTAATATCAGGCACATAGCTTGATCTCAGCAAATATCCTCCAAATTTACTCCTACCCTCTATGTCCCCTGTACTTTGGTATTTTATGTAATTATCTGCCAAAGTCTACCACAAAGAATGACTAATACAAAAATGGAGGTAGACAGAAGTTTCTCAGAGAAGTAAAAAACATTTTGGATACCCTCCATCACATTACAAAAAGGATTTGTGATAGTGGGTTGTAACAAAACTAAATAAAAAAGAACAAAAAAGAACAGCTGTGTAGTTGCTTTATTTTAAAATGTCTTTTTGCAAATAATTTAAAAGTTGATTAGAAAATTTCAAAAAAAAACATTTTGGAATAAGCAGTATAAATTTATTGAGGGTCAAAATCTGGAACAAAAGCATAGCCTACCTAGCTCCACTTATACTCCAGTGAATAGTGGGATAACTAATAAATAATAACTAAAAATTTCAAAAGCTATTAGGAAATTGGGTTAAAACTTTATTATAATGACAGATATGCTCCTGAAATAGAGAAAGATAAATTTTAAAATAAAATTAGATTAAAATGGTCCCAGGCCAGGCGCAGTGGCTCACACCTATAATCCCAGCACTTTGGGAGGCCGAGGCAAGAGGATTGCCTGAGTTCAGGGGTTCAGGACTAGCCTGGGCAACCTGGCAAGACCTCATCTCTACAATAAATCAAAAAATTCGCTGGGCATGGTAGCACATGCCTATAGTTCCAGCTACTTGGAAGGCTGAGGTGGAAGGATCTCCTGAGCCCAGCAGGTCGAGGCTATAGTGGTCGTGAACGTGTCATTGCACTCCAGCCTGGGCAACAGAGTGAGATCCCAACAAAAAAAAAAAAAAAAAAAAGGTCCCTCTATCAAAAACAAATAAATTTTTATTTCAGTATAGTGAAAAACCTCTCTGAGTCAATATCTCAGAATCCAGCCTCTGTTACAGAATAAACTGGTTCTGTGATTCTGGGCAAACCACCTAGCCACTTCTTTAATCTATACTAGAAAGAGATTTGGAATAACTGCAGAGGTATCTTCCTCTTCTGTTTGTGAATTTGTTGATCATAAAAATGTTAACATTCAGAATTTTTAAGTCATAGTCTGTATAAAATCACTTTGAAGACAATTTCAGAAAAACTTTTAAGCAGTATTATTTTGGAGCAGCAAAAATATTCATATGTCTGAGAATGTAGGAAGGGGTTACAAGAATTGAGACAGAAGCTAACCCTCAAAATTTAAGGACTAATTATAAATCAGCTCAAGAAAGCAGTTCGTGTGTTCAATTTTACCTGTAACAGTACCATGTAGTCATTACTTGCTTAAGATTTTATTTTTCGGCAGGAGGCTATTTATCATATTTTTAAATCATTATCTTCAGAATTTATTTAGTTATTTATTTTCATTTTTATTTTATTTTTGAGTTGGAGACTCACTCTTTTGCTCAGACTGGAGTACAGTGGCACACTCTTGGCCACCACAGCTTGACTTGCTGGGCTCAGGTGATCCTTCCATCTCAGCCTTCCAAGTAGCTAGAACCACAGGCATGTGCCACCATGCCCAGCTAATTTTTTGATTTATTGTAGAGACGAGATCTTGCCAAGTTGCCCAGGCTGGTCTTGAAACCCTGGGCTCAGGCCATCCTCTTGCCTCGGCCTCCCAAAGTGCTAGGGTTACGGACTTGAGTCACCACACCTGGCCTCAGAATTTATTATTAATCAATTATAATCATCTAAAAATCTTTACTGAAATCTTGATAATGTTAGGCCACACTAAATATTTGTATTTGCTTCATGAGAGATTTATTTTTTTCACCTTTTAGCAATTTTTTTGCTTGCTCTTCTGTAAAACCCTACAATAAATGTATAATCTAAGATATTGTTTTATTAATACAGACATGTCTTCTTCTCTTTTTTGATAGCATCCTATATGAACAAGCCTCATAGTGCTAATGAGTATCATAATGTTCTTTCTGTGGACAATGTATGCTGGCCTGCTCCCAACCAAATTCCTCCTGTGTCTACACCAGTAACTGAACTTTCTCGAATTTGTTCCCTTGTTGGAATGCCACAACCAGATTTCTCCTTTCTTAGGACACCACAGGTATAGTATACTGCTGTTCAATTTATATAATTATTTAACATTGAGCTTAAACAAACTGGTTGAAAATCTTTAGCTAAAAAAATTATAATGAGACCGACCTTTTTTAATTTTAAGAGCAGCATAGCTCTATACTTTTCACTCTGGCTGTACTATTCATACACAACCAGAGCCCTTAAAGAGGCTGACAAAGAGGAACCTGGGCAGCAGGTAACCTGGCAAGATTCTTCAATGATAGAGCTAGGGACCTTGGTTTATAGCAATAGTTTTCAAACTTTTGGGCCTCAGAAACTTACCCATTTTTTGGAAGACCCCAGTGAATTTTTGCTTATTTGTGTTATATTCATATTTACTGTATTAGAAATTTAAACTGAAGAAATTTAAATGTTTATTAATTCATTACTTATTAAAAATAACTTCTTCCTAACATACATCTACAGAACATTTCACCCAACAACTGCAAAATACACATTCTTTTCCTCAGCACATGAAATATTCTCAAGGATAGATCATGTGTTAGCTCACAAAACAAGTCTCAAAAATTCCAAAAAAAATTGAAAGCATATCAAGTATATTTTCTGATCATAATGGAATAAAAGTAGTATAGATTAAATTATTTATACTAGAAAGAGATATGGAATAGCTCTGCAGAGTTATCCTCTTCTTCTATTTGTGAATTTGTTGATCATAAAAATGTTAACATTCAGAATTTTTAAGTCATATTCTGTATAAAATCACTTTGAAGACATAATTTCAGAAAAACTTTTAAGCAGCATTATTTTGGAGCAGCAAAAATATTCATATGTCTGAGAATGTAGAAAGGGGTTACAAGAATTGAGACAGAAGCCAGAACAAGAGAAACTTTGAAAGCTATGCAAACACACAGAAATTAGGCCAGGCATGACAGCTAACTCCTGTAATCCCAGCACTTGTACTTTTGGAGACCAAGGCTGGGGTAGGAGGAGTGCTTGCTGTAGGCCAGGAGTTCGAGACCAACCTGGGCAACATAGTGAAACTTTGTATCTATAAGGGAAAAAAAAGCCACATATGAAAATTAAACAATATGCTCCTGAATGACCATTGGGTCAATGAATAAATTAAGAAGGAAATTAAGAAATTTTTTGAAACAAATTAAAAGGAAAACTTATACCAAATCCTGCGGGATTCACCAAAAGCACTAAGGTGGAAGTTTAGCAATAAACTCCTACGTCAAAAAAGTAGGAAAACTTCAAATAAACAACCTACAATGTATCTTAAAGAACTAGATCTGGCAATCCCACTATTGGCTATCTATCCAAAGGAAAAAATATCATTATATCAAAAAAAATACCTGCACTTTATGTTTATTGCCGTAATTGTCACAATAGCAAAGATATAGAATCAACCTAAGTGTTCACCAATGGATGACTGGATAAAGAAAATATGGAATATATACACAATAGAATATTATTCAGCCATAAATAAAAATGAAACCATATCTTTTGCTGCTACATTGGTAGAACTGGCAGCCATTTTCTTAATTGAAACAATTCAGACACAGATACCACATGTTATCACTTGTTAGTGGGAGACAAATAATGTGTACACATGGACATGAAGTGTGGAATAATAGACATTGTAAACTGTAAAGGGTAGGAAGGTGGGAAGGAAAATGTATGATGAAAAATTACTTAATGGGTACAATGTATATTATTCAGATGATGAGTACACTAGAAGTTCAGATTTCACCACTACACAGTATATCCATGTAGCAAAATTGTACTTGTATCCCTTAAATTTATACAAATTTTTTTTAAAAGGAAGAACTAGAAAAGCAAGAGCAAGCCAAACCCATAATTAGTAGAAGAAAATAAATAATAAAGATCAGAGCAGAAATTAATGAAATTTATATTTTTCAAAAAACAAAAGATAAATTAAACAAAAGGGTTTTTTTTAATTAAACAAAATCAACAAACCTTTATCCAGACTAAGAAAAAATAGAGAGAAGCCAGGCTCGGTGGCTCAGTCTGTAATCCTGCACTTTGGGAGGCTGAGTTGAGTGGATTGCCTGAGCCCGCGGGTTCTCGACCTGCCTGGGCAACTTGGCGAGACCTCATCTCTACAATCAATTTTTTTTGTTGGTTTTTTTTTTTTGTTTTTGAGTTGGAGTCTTACTCTGTCCCCCAGACTGGAGTGCAGTGGCCGC